TGCCTCACCCCTCCTAAACTTATTCTTTGCCTTCATCGGGGTCTTTCTAGGCCTTCCCCCCTCACTACTCTTTTTTTTTTTGCACTTTTTGGTGAGGCATTTGGGGTTGAGTGACTTGCCCAGGGTCACACAGCTAGTTAAGTGTCAAGTGTCTGAGGCCAGATTTGAACTCAGGGCCTCCTGACTCCAAGGCTGGAGCTCTATGCACTGTGTCACCTAGCTGGGCGTCCCCCCCCCCCACTACTTTTTAAGGCCATTATCCCCATTCTGATTTCAATTTCCTTCACCCTTTCCAGTCTGGACCCTGTAGTTAGCTATTTCAACTCCATACTGCCTTTTTTCCTCAAATGCCTTTTCCTTCGTCCTTTTGCTGATCATCTCTTACTAAACCTCACCCTTAGATTATTCTTGCCATAAACCTCCTCTGATCCTAGTTAGAGCGTACTGAACAGATCTAGAATAAGTCACACACCATGCTCATCTGATACATTACAGGTTCATACTATCCATTTAACTGGCCCCTTACTGTAGCAGTAGAGTTCTTATAGTCCTCCTTAATTTTGTCTCTATCTCACACCCTACAAAAGCTATTACAAACCTTTTCTTCCCTCCTTAAACTTCTAACAAGAATCTTCCTATTGCCTTCATTCTCCAGTGCTGCTGAGAAAATTAAGGCCAGTCAGTTTGAGCCTCCCATCTTCTTTTCTCTTCATCTAAAATTCCGTCTGCCCCAGTAGATGTGAGCAGTTTTCAAAGGAAGAAATCCAAGCTGTCAACAAACATGTGAAAAAATTCTCAAAGTCACTAACAGAAAATGCAAATTAAAATAACTGAGGTTACACCTCATACCCATCTGATTGGCAAAGACAACAAAAAGATAAAATGACAATTGCAGGGCCTTGGTGAAAACTAACACTCCATGCACTGTTATAGCTGTGAATAGGTCTAGCCATCCTGGAAGGCAATTTGGAACTAGGCTTAAAAAGTCACTAAATTGTGCATATCTTTTGACCTAGTGATATCAATAGCTAGTATGCTTATATCCCAAGAGATCCACGAAAGATACAAAGGTCCCATATATTACAAAATTACATATAGTAGCAGTCTTTGTTATAGCAAAGGAAGTGGAAAATAGAGTGTCCATCAATTGGGGAATAGCTGAACAATTATATTGTATGAATGGAATGGAATATTATTGCCCCATTAAAAATGAGCATAACAGGGGCAGCTAGGTAGTGTGGTGGATCGAGCACTGGCCCTGGAGTCAGGAGGATCTGAGTTCAAATGAGGCCTCAGACATATAACTCACTAGCTGTGTGACTCTGGGCAAGTCACTTAACCCCAATTGCCTCACCAAAAAAAAAAACATACTAAAAATGAGCATAAGGATGGGAAGATATGAATGAATCAATAGAGTGAAGTGACCAAATCCAGGAGAACTACTTATGTAATAACATCATAAATACAAACCACTTTAAAAGTCTTAGATTGTTGAATGAACATTTAGAGAACAAATGAAGCATAGGGCCACCTCCTGACAGGGAGGTGATGAATTCAGGTTGCAGAATGACACTCAGTTTTGCATCTAGACAATGTGGGAATTTTTCGCCTAATTTATCTGTATTCATTTAAAAGGATTTGTTTTTTCTCAGTTTGGGGGTGTGGAGAGAGAAAGAAAAACTTAAGGATGATATGGTTGCTTCCAAAAAGGGTTGTTGAAACATGTTTTTGAAATGCACAGAAGAAAACAGAAAGAAGGCCAGAAGGAATCAGATAAAAGGGACACTTTGTTTTTGTTTTTTTTTCTTCAAACAAGACACTTTGAAAGAAACATGTTGCATTTATGTATTTAAAAAGAAAAGCAAGCTGTACGTAATAGAGATTCATAGTTTCAAGGATAGCTATCTCTTTATTTTCTGCATATATGGAAGGGTTCATTTTAGTTGATTTTTGTTAAGTCCAGAATTTTTTAAAAAGTAAAAATAAAAATCCCTTGGTATTATCTTCTACTCTGTCCTCCATTACTCTAGTCTCTAACAAAGGCAGCAGCTGTCCTTGCCAAGGCCAACCCCAGCCCTTTCACATGTGTGCCTTGATTCTGTCCTTTCTAGTCTTTTCTGGCAGGTTGCATCTTCAACCATTTTCCTCACCTCTTGAATCTTCAACCTTGTATTAAATTTACTGTTTTTTTCCATATCACCTTCAAACATTCCCAAATCTCCCATCCTTAAAAAAATCTTAATGAGACCCTACCATCATCCCCTCAAGTCATATTCCTATATCTTTCCTCCCTTTCTCAGCAAAGCTCCCAGAAAAGCCTGTCTATACTTGCTGCTTTCACTTCCTATAAGCTTTCTTTCATTTCTCTTTGCAATTTGGTTTCCAACTTCACCAAGCTGAGATTTCTGCCTTCGGAGTTAACCAGCCATCTCCTAATTGCCAAAACTGATGGTCTTTTTCTCAGTCTTCATCCTTCTTGACCTATTTGCTGTGTATTTTACATTGATGACCACTCTTTTCCAACCCTGTATATATACAAACATTCCTTCAGCACCTCCTTTCATATCACATCACCTAAATGTGGGTGTTCCCCAAGGTCAGCTTTATTGATAGTCAACAAGTATTTCTTAAACCCTTACAATGTATCTGGCACTGTGCTGGGCACTGGGATTAGTGAGATGAGTGACTAGTCCTAGGAGAAAGGCCCAGCTCAGGATTGTGGGAGGCAGAGGATAAAGTGAGCGAGGTAGCTGTCAGGATCCAGGACAGTTGTTTTGTTTTTGGTTTTGTTTTTACTCAGGAGCAAAGGAGGGTAAACCTGGAACCCAGGCCTAGGAGTTGTGGGCATCATCCCCACTATCCAAGGCTGCAGGTGGAGGGAAGTAAAGTAAAATTGCACTTTTATGTTACCTCCTCTGTAAATAGGACCTCAGGAGATGTATGCACAACTTCTGACACCAGCTTTGCCGCTTAACCAAGTCCTTTGCTCTGGGTCTCAGTTACCCCATTTATAAACTCTTTGGGGTCCAGTGGCCTGTCTAGCACAGATTGGCTTGTGGGATTTGTGGTTTCCTTTTTTAAGCCTTAAGGTCCCTGGGAAAGAAGCTGTTAACATGGGGTAAGAAAAGAGGAAAGGTTTGGGGGGGGGTTCTGGTCTCCACACAAACTTTGGGGTGCCACAGGACAGCTTTTTTCTTAAGGGAATAAATTGATCAATTAATTAACTTCTGAAAATTGGGCACTCTTGTGAAAATGTCTGTGAAGAATACAAGAGGGGCACTTAACATCTGCTGATGGTAATAGGAAGCCTGGGGATCTTTAGCCTGGAGGAAAGCACGAGGGGGAACCATTGTCATTGTCTTTAAAGCTGTTCTGAGGAAAAGGGATTAGATTGCCTTGCACTGGGATTGTCCATCCCCAGGCTCAGAATGCACTCCTTCCTGATTATCTCTTAGCAAAGGGTCCTCAGCTTCCTTCAAAGCTCAGTTCTTATATCACATCCTTTAGCTAGAAGGGCTTCTTAACCTGGGGTCCATGAATTTTTTCCCTGTATTTTGGTAACTGTATTTCAATATAATTGGTTTCCTTTGTAATCCTATGTTTTTTATTTTCTGCATTTTTAAAACTTTTTTTTTCCTTGAGAAGGGTCATGGGCTTCACCAAACTGCCAAGGAGGGGTTCATGATACAAAAAAAGGTTAAGAATTCCTCTGTCTTTTAGGAGGACTGCCGCCCCCCAGCTGCTCCAGAAATGTCTGTAAATCTGTAAATGACTGTGTTTAATGTGCTGTGTACATAGAACACAAGCAGCTTGAGGGGCTGTTTTTTGTTTTATTTCTGTATTGCCTTCCCAGCTGCTTGCAGAGTCACGAGCATTAATAATGCTTGTTGAATTGAATTGTTTTGCTTGTCCCCAGAGATTAAGAACTAGGCTTGCAAGGGGTGGAAAGTTGTAGTTTTTTCAGGTCCCTTCAAGGAAAAACTTCCTAGCAATTAGAGCTTTATAGGAATGGTCTGCTTTAAGAGATAGCCAAGTCTCCATTGCTAGAGGTCTTCCTTCAGACAGAGACTGAAACACCACTTCTTGGGATTGTTCTGGAGGAGATATTTCTTTGTTTATCAGTTGAACTAACTGCTTTCTGAAATTCCAACTCTCTTGAAATTCCATCCATCTGGGAGGCAACTTATAATGGTTCCTTTGGCTCTCACCAAGTGCATTCACTGGCTTCTCTCTTGCCAGAGGGCCAGGTGCATACACTCGAACTCTGAAGACCAGACCTTAATTAAGGGGTTGGAGTAGTTGGAAAAAGAGGCACATGAATTGGGCCTTAAAAGAGTGGGTAACAGTTATAGAGGAGTAGGAAAGAGATTCTGAGAGGAGGTACTGAAATCTTATTTTTCCAGCTGAGTTTTAAGTTTTTTCAGTCTTGATGGGTGGATTCTTGAATTTGGAACAAGTAGGATCTTGGGGCTGGTTTGGACCTTAGAGATTGTCCACAGCCTCTTCATATTTACAGATGGAGAAATGCTATCTCATTTTATCTTCACAACCACCCCGAGAGGTAGGTGTATTCCCATTTTTACAGATGAAGAAACTGAATCAGACAGCAATTAAGTGACTTGCCTAAGGTGACAGACCATAAGTGTCTTGAGGATGTATTTGAACTCCAGGTCAATGCTTTATCCACTGTATTACCTCACTGCTCCTATCTCATGAAGCTAGTATGAGTGTCAGATGTTATATGGGTATCCTATCCCAAAAGAATCAAGGATGGTTTTATTTTTCTTTGTCACTCCAGAACCTAATTCAGTGTCTGGCACCGTCAGTCCTCAATGAATATTGGTTGATTGATTTTCATATATATAAGGTGCTTTTCAAATTGTAAAGTACTATAAAAAAGAAAGTGACTCCTGTCTTTACAACTTCCGTGTATTCCAGACTCCGCTTTACTACCCGCTCAGTGAGACTAGATGACGGAGTACCTTCTTCTGTCATTTCAGATTTGTAACTGGTTCATCAATGCACGACGGCGGCTTCTCCCAGATATGCTGAGGAAGGATGGCAAGGACCCCAACCGTTACACCATTTCCCGGCGTGGTGGCAAAGCAGCTGATATGGCCGTGCCCCGGGGTTCAAGTCCCACCCTGATGCACCAGGGTCCGCTCAGGCCCCCTCCAAAGTGCTGTCACTGTCTGTGTGCTCCTCTGCACTCTGTTCCTCTGCATCCCCAGTGAGGGCTCACCTCCCTGGCCCTGGGGCTGAGAATGAAAGTGCACCAACCCCTTCTTTGGTTAGTGGGGAGCCACAGCCCCTCCCAGGCACTGGCAGCACACTCACCCTGCTGGCCAGGGCACAGGCTGGAAGCCCAACCAGTGGACTGTTTAACACACCACCTCCCACACCCCCAGAGCACTATGGAGATGACTTTAGCAGCTTCCAATTGCTGGTGGAGGTGGCCCTACAGAAAGCAGCTGAGCTCGAGTCACAGAAAAAAGATCTATTTCCTCCTTCATGGCATGCCGAGCTTCCTTTGGTAGCCAGTAACCCCAAGTAGTCCTTGAAAGGGCCTTCAAGACTTGGTAGAAGACAGTTGCCCCTCTTCTTTGTTTTTTTTACTGTTCATTGTGTTGTTTGGGGTCTTTCCTTTTACCTATCAGGGTCTCTCCCACCTGTTGGGATTGCCTTCTCTGCCCAGACAGGTTCTCCCAATGGGAACACTTGGGTGTTGCACACTGTGACCCAGACCACCTCTTATCTCTCACCTGCTCCACTCCCAACAGAGGGATCATCTGCAGGCTAGGAGAAGTTGGACCAAGAAATCTCAGACGCATGTTGAGGTCATCTCCTGCACATCCGGCTCTGGGAACACGATGCTTCTGTCTCCAAGAATTCCCATTTTGTCGTACATTCTGCCCTTGGGCACCCTACTGACTGCTTCAGCCTAGTTTCTCCCTAAATCCATTCCGCCAAACAGGACCATGTACAGGGCCTGGGATTATCCTATTCCTAGCCCCCTTTTCATCTCTACTGACTGGCAGGACTACAGAGATCCAGACAAAGAAAGTTAAACACTATCTTGGGGGGACTGGTGACCAGGTTCAGGAAAAAAAAATATCCAAAGGGGCTTTTTGGTTTTTTTGGGGGGGGAAACGTGTTTGTTTTTGTTTTTGCTCCTGTGTCTTTCTCGAGACAAAGGTTTGCAAGACCTAGCAGATAGCTGGAGTGATCCAAATTACATGAGGCTGTGGAGTTGGTGAATATTGTTTAGCCTTACTCCTTGGCAAGAAGGGATAAAGGATCTCTTGAGATTGGGCGACTTTTCAAAATTTTAATTAAAAAAAATAATACCTTGACTTGTAAGGTAGTCATTGTCCTGGAAACCTGGGCTAAAGTGGAACGTGTTGCTTCCCCCCCCCCAAAAAAAATCCTGGGCCATCTAGTAGTTGGTCTGGTTATACTCCCTAATGCTTTCTTTTGAATCCAGTTTGGTCAGCTTCTCTCACTACCCACTGCAGTTCTTGCTGATAAGGTCAATGGGACCTGGGGAGCAGGAGGTTGGGCAGAAGATGGAGGTTAAATTTGGAAATTATATGGTAAAGTGGTTACAGATAAGTGTTGCACCTTTTCTTCTGAATTCTAGCTGCAGGGGCTTTGGCTTTCTGAGCACCTCTGAAATAGGTCACTGTTAGTCTTATTGATTTCCTCCCCTCTCCCCATTTTGATTTTTTAAAAAATATTGCTATTTCATGGTTTACTATGTTAAATAGCAATAGGTACCAGCTTATATGTATTGAAAAACACTAATCCTAGGTTTAGACTGAGTATTCTTTTGTATGAATAATATTAATGTCAGTAGAAGAAGATGGGAGGGAGCACTCCTCAGCCCATACGTTAGATGGATGGGGTGATTGTGTGGAGTGAGACTCTGAAGAGCAGGGAGGGAAGAGACCCATAGAGTCCCCCTGTTTCTCCTGCTTCTTGAGCCAGACTTCCCCCTCCCATCCCCCATCCATTCCTTGTCTCTTTTCCAGACCCAGTTTCTAGCTCGGCTCTGATTTCCGTAAGCCTGGATTAAGTTTAAATAAGATCACAGAACTCCAGTGCTGGGGCCACTGGGAAAGGCTGTTGGCAGGGAGAGAGGGAGAATGGCTTCCACAGTGCACTATGCAATGGGGGTGGGAGTCATGCTGCTGGACCCTGTTAGTCATCTCTTGGGATGATGGGGGAGGCTGTGGGTTGGTTAAGTTGGACTGTGTCTGGGTTTTTGATTTTATGTCTAAAGTGTGAGGGAGAGATACTTCTCTCCAGTTGAACTGAGCAAAAAAAAAAAGCTACTGTAAATAACTTGTTGGAAAAAACATTTTTTTGTCAAATAAAAGATTTTTTTAAAAACACAACCTGAACCAGGGAGCCTGAGTCTGTCGTTTTGGGCTATGTAACTCCCAGTATTAGAGAATACCTTTGTTCTCTCTCCACCTTAGCCTAGATAGTGAAAGATAATGTTTTAATAATCATTGCTTACATTTATATATCATTTTAGGGTTTACAAAGTGCTTTACATAAATCTTGTTTGAACATCTCCACATTATATTGGTTAGGCCCACGAGGAGTCATTTGTCTCCTCAACTAAAGACTTGAGACTAAGGCAGAAAAGTGGTCACAAAATCTCAAATGGAGAAGAGACTTTGAGATATCATCTAGTCTTCATACCTAGGAAAGAATGTCCCTTAACATATGCTTGACTAGCGTTCATCCGTTCTCTGGAGACCTCCAAAGGCAGGAACTTGCTGTCTCCAGTAGCAAGATAGCAAGCACATTGCTCTAATTCAAAAAAAAAGAAGTGCTTTATGGTTTACCAGAGCCTGCTTCACAATAACCCTGAGAAGAGAGTTGTGTATTTAGGGTTGTGTAAACTTAGGTTGAAGGTTAAGTGTCTGGTTCATGGTCATACACCAAACAAGCCATAGATTTGGGCTTTGAATCTAAATTCCTGACTCCAGATCTTTGTGTGTTTTTGTTTTGTTTTGGAACTAGGCCTGTGACTTGAGATCTTCGGCCTCCTTTCTAGGGATACTGATGGGGCTCATTGGCTTGCCCAGGGTTGTGCCACCAGTCTTCCAGAACAGGAGGCTGGTTCTGTTTGCTAAGCCACACTCTCATCCTTCTTTGTTCACACCTGTGATTTCATTTGATGCGCAGGGTGTAGACAGCTCACATTTACTGCACTGAGAAGACCCAAGACTTCCCACCACCCCTCCCCTCCTTTCCAATAACCTTACTCCCTCTTCCATTTGATGGCTTCTCTAATATGTGGAGACACCAATGATACCCTGTTACCACCCCCACTTCCCTCCCTTTTACCTTTAATATATTCCCCTGGATGTGTGGGGTGGGGAGGAGAGATCTGGGTTTTAGCATTTTCTTTTGATTCCCTGTGTTGCATAGATTAAAGGGTTTTTCCTCTTGTTGCTATTTTTTTTAACTTACAAAAACAAAAATATATTTAAAGAAATACCACATCTGGGGCAGCTAGGTGGCGCAGTGGATAGGGCACCAGTCTTGGATTCAGGGGACCCGAGTTCAAATCCAGCCTCAGACATAAGGAGTACTAGCTGCGTGACCCTGGGCAAGTCACTTAACCCCATTGCCTAACCAAAAAAAAAAACCACATCTAAATATCTTGATACACATTGTAAGAAATGTAAGGACTAAAAGGGTATAAAATTGTGATGTACAGAAAGTTGAAGAGACAGTTTCTGGGTAATCATTTTATTAATGATGCTGGCAATAATAAAAGGGGTCAGTGACAGTGCCAAAGCCCCCTCATGGAGCGGCTCCAGCCCTTGGAAGAGCGGGTGCTCCGGAGGGATTGTCCCCGGGTTCCTTTATAAAACTGCAGGGGGAAGGTGGACTCGACCTCGCGGGTTCCACAGCCCACGTTCTTTCCCGGCTTTGCCACTCACTGCCTAAGGGACCTTGGGTGCTTCCCTCTCCGGGCTACTTTACTCATCTCTAAAATGAGGTTGGACCCTTCTTTTCTGTAAAATACTTCCCACCTCTGAGGGGTTTCTCTAGACTTCTGGCGGGGGAGAGGCAGGCGAGTAGGGAAGCCAGATTCGGGGGTGGGAGCTAAGTTTGAGGAGGCTTTACACACTGCAGGCCCCTACGCCCGAAGGGAATCTGACCCCAACTAGCTAGTCTCTCTCATCCTCTCACTGGTCGCTTCTTGAAATTGGCCCTTTCTTCTTCCCGTAGCGCAGAAATCCACCCCCAGTGGAGTCTGTCACGTGAGCCACGCTCACGCCTTGGGCGACGGAGGGGGGACGGGAAAGGGAGAGGCGGAGCCATCCTCACGAGGTGGTGCACCCTGGTCCCTGATTGGCTGCGTTTGCACGCCAGCGGGAGGACGCTAGGCCTGCTCTCCGCCCTTCTCGCATTTGACCCCCCCCCCTCCACCTCGGATAAGATCGGGCGCACAGCCTGCTTAGTTGAAGGGCGCCTGGACACGGAGCCGGCTGGCCGAGGGCGGGCTTCTGGGCGCTGTGAGAGGGAGGCTCTGCTCCCTGACTCCAGGCCCAGCCCAGCGGTAGGACAGAAGGACGGACGGACTGACGGAAGGACGGCCGGGGGGAGGATGAGCGGCGGGAGGCGGAAAGAGGAGCCGCCGCAGCCGCACCTGGCCAACGGTGCCCCGAAGGGCTCGGCCTGGAGCAAAGCGCTGCGGAGCGACGCGGCCTGGGAGGACAAGGTGCGGGGCCGGCGGGGAGGGGGCCCTGGGGGGGGAGGTGCGTGTGTGCGCGCGCGGCGAGGGGGGGGAACCTGTCACCCCGGTCTAAGGACGCGTGTGCGTGTGTGCTCACACGTGAGTGAGGAGTCTCTGTCACCCTGGTGCCAAGGGCTGAAAGCGTATGTGGTGTGTGTGTGTGTGTGTAGGTACGTGGGGGACCTATCATCCTGAGGTGGAGGGGAAGAGCCACGTGCGGGGTGCGGGTGCCGAGTGTGCAGCGGGATTTGTCTCCCGGTTGCAAGGAGTTAATGTGTGTTTGTGGGGGTAGGGGGGAAGGACAGCACTGTGCACATATGGGTTTGCCGCTGACCTGTTACACTAGGGCAGAGTTCGAAAGCGTGTGTGTGCCTGCCTGTTTGTGAGATGACCTGTCACCCTGGTGAAAAGGCATAGGGAATTATTTTTTTGTATGTTTATTGAGGGCGGAGTGGGGAAGGTTGAGACTCATATTGGACAAGTCACATCACCTCTCAGGGCCTCAGTTTCCCCATTTGCCAAATAAGATAAGGCTGGTTAAGTGAGTGTGCTTGATGATTTATTATAGCTAGCAATTAATGATCGCTAGTATTTATGTAGACAAAAATTTTTAAGTGCTTTACACAGATTATTTCATTTTATCCTCACAACAATCCCCGAGAGGTAGATGCTATTATTATCCTCATTTCACAGATGAGAAAACTTAGGCAAACAGATGATAAGTGACTTGTAAGGGTCACACAACTAGGAAGTGAATAACTTTGGAAAGAGATGGTGAGGGAGATGAGAAGAGGGGGGGATTATGCGTTCAAAAAGGAGGGAGCATACTAAGTGGCCTCTGGGATTTCTTAAAACTCTCAATCTTTTATCCTGTGTTGTATGAATGAGGGGGTGAGAAGACATGTTACATGACCAGGCAAATGTGAGCGTGTTTACTACGTATGTCAACTTGATCACAGAATTTCAGAGTTGGAAGTGACCACATCGTCATCTAGCCCTGCTTGAAGACCTCTCCTTCCCTATCATTCAGTTCCACTTTTGGACGGCACATCATTAGAGAGTTTTGTCTGAGTTTAAGACTAAAGTTGTCTACAATTTCCAACTACTGCTCCTGGTTCAACCCTTTGAGGGGGAGGGAACAACAAACAAATCTAACCTCTCTTTTCTTGAACACAGCTATTGTGCTCCCCCGCAGTTTTTTCCCCTTTGGGTAGAAAGAAATCCCTAGTTCCTTCAGTTCACCCTCATATGTCATGAACTTGAGACCCATCACCATCCTGGTTCCTCTCCTCTGGACACTCTAGTTTATCAATGCCTTTAGATTATACCATCTATAACGGAATAAAATACCCTAGAAGAGGGCATGAATGAAAGAGACTTGTGTGTAAAGACCTTGTTGGGAGGCATGTGAGAGTGTGATTGGACATATGAGAGGTAGAATTTCATCAGTTTTCAAAGCATTAGATAGAAGGCCAGTTATGAGCAGTTGTGTTTATGAGGGAGGGGAAACTGGAAAAGGAGACTGTTACTCTGGTATTAAGTGACAATAAGGAGTTATGTCATGCCTAGTGTCCATGAATGTGTGAAAGATAGTATATGTGTGGGAAGACTTGGGAGTGCGGAGTAGATTGAGAATATGAGAAGAGGGATTCCCTAGGGAACTGTGTGTGAGAGGAGATGCAGCATGGTGTAATATAATGCGATGATTCCTGGGCTAGGGTGGATATCGGAACAATTTGATTCTAGACCTGTCAGTGACTTGAAGGATAGCTATTTCGGGACTTCATTTTTCCATTCTGTAAAATGCAGGGGCAGAATTAGATAATCTTTACAAGCCCTTTCAATCTGATATTTTGTGATTCGGGGGGGGTGTATTTGAAGAATTTAATGTCACCCTGGGAAAGGGATGTGTCTATGTGAGGTGGGGACAGGGACCTCAAAGGACTGAGATCTAGAGTGTAGCTGTGTATGATGTGTTCCGAATCCCCATATCTCATATGCCTTCCTCGAACCACACACACACACACACACACACACACACACACACACATATTGTGCATCTTCCCAGGTGGAAGATAGGTAGGACTATATGTGTCATTAGGTGGAGCAGCAAAGAAAGATATCTAGAGAGAATATTGAGAATAAGCAGTTGAGTGTGTTGAGGTTAGGATTAATATTTCTCCCTTTCTCCAGTCTTCAAAGCTGACAGGGTTGAGGTTGGGGCTAGGGTATGTACCAAGCTGGCCTTTGATTTCATTTCCTTTACTATGTCTGGGACTTTCAGAGCTGGGCTGTGCCATTTTGAGTTTTATATCCATATTCTCTTGATTTTCCTGGACCAATAAAGTCAGGTTCCTCTTCCTTCTTTGGTCCCCATTTCTGACCCTCCCAAGGTTCCACTTGGCTCCGCAGCCCTGGTCTACTGGCCATTACCCTAGGTTTCAGGGTCACTGTATGTCTGTGCCTTTGCCTTGATTATCGGAACTACAGTGACAAGCAGTTAGTTAGGCCTTCCTCTGGCCCAACCTGTGTTCTGCTCACCTATTGCAAAATCTGGAACCACTTGTTTGTTATCTCCTCTTAATAGCATTGGGCAACTTTTTAGATAGCTTGGTGTAAGCAGTGGCTTTTGGACTTAAGTACAGATGAGAAACTAGAAATTTTTCTATACTTCTATAGCAGAACCCTCCTTTTCCATATCTTTAGACATGCTGAGTTTCTTTTATTTATGTTAGTTCTGGCACCTGCCCCCAGTGTCTTTCTGTCCCTTTAATATACGTGTATCATCCCAGGAAGAGAATGATTGTGTTGTACCAAGCAGAGCCTCCATCTAAGGAGCCATCCAGTCAGTTGTCAGGTCTTATCAGTCAGTCCTGACTATTTCCTCTGCTTATCCCCTGTTTAGATCTTTAACTATACTATTGTACTAGCCTTCTCTAATTGGTCTCCTAGCTTCCAGTCTCTTCCCTCTCCAATCCACACTCCTTGAAGTTGTCAAATTGATGTTCCTAAAATGCAAATCTGACCATTTCACTCTGCTCAAAAATGTCTGATGGTTTCTTATTGCCATCTTTCCAGCTCTAAATCTATAATCCTATGATGATCATATATCCTGGGACCTCTGATAGTGGGGAGGAGAGGTAACAAATAGTCAAACCTGGAAATTTGGGGATTGTATTGTTACTTGGTATTAATGTGGGTATCAAGTGAAAAGCACCAGAGAGTAAATTTTTAAGGAGTAATGTGATGAGCAGGGATATGATGAATCTGGCCTATCCATTGTCCATTACAAATGCTTCTAAATGGATTGCTAGCAAATGCATAGCATTTGCTGTGTGAATATTCACAAAGTAAAAATTTCTCCTGTCAAATATATACCTCATGTTAACTTCTTTTTTTTTCCTTAGGCAATTGGGGTTAAGTGACTTGCCCAGGGTCACACAGCTAGTAAGTGTTAAGTGTTTGGTCTGAGGCTGGATTTGAACTCAGGTCCTCCTGACTTCAGGGCTGGTGCTCTATCCACTGCGCCGCCTAGCTGCCCCTCATGTTAACTTCTTGAAACTGGAATAAGCCTTCTATGAAAAGAAACTTGTACTCGAGGAAGTTTGTATCTCGTATTGAACAAATATCAGTACTTTTAATATTGTTGAACCGTTATTGATTTGACCTCATGTTCAAGTTTAACAGTTGTTCCCTTTCTTTTTTAGCCTACCTTATGTATATCTTTGATCTAAACCATGATACAGGTCATTTTGATAGCTTAGGCTGAGTTAACTTCCATAGAGAATTAACCTGATAATGTGGCAATATAATATCCTGCTGGTTGACACTCAGCAGCTGTACAGTTTAGTTCTGTAAAGCTTCATATCTGTACAAGGTATCTAAAGGTCAGATTTCTAGCATTTAAAAGAGTTGACTTGAATAATTTCTCTCCTAAGGCTGGCAAGAGTTTATTAAATGTGTTGCCACCATCCTAGCAGGAATTCATGTTGAATCTAAGCCTTAGGAAACAGTTTTGTTTTGTTTTTTCTTAATCCACTGTTTTCCCCAATGTCATGGGGCAAGTTACTCAACTCTGAGTTGCAAAAAATGTTGGCATTTACAATCTCTAAATTGTGCTTCTAGTTAGTTAATTTAAGATTTTTGTGCTTTGCCTTAATGTTCTCACATGACAACACAATACCAAAATTTGTAAGTCACCCTAAGAGTTGAGAATTGTAATGCCCAATGTCATTGTGCAAGGAAAAATAAAAGTGCTTCAAGTAAACTGAAGGGAAAAAAAAGTAGTATGTTGCCAGTAACAGCAATATTATACAATGATCAATTGTGAATGACTGCTATTCCCGGCAGTGTAGTGATCCGAGACAATTCTGAAGGACCTATGATGAAAAATGCTATCTCCCTCCAGGAAGGAACTGATGGGAGTCTGAATGCAGATAAAGGCATACTATTTTTTTACTTTTTTTTTTTTTGTCTGTTTTCAACATGGCTAAAATGGAAATATGCTTTGCATGACTGCACATGTATAATCTATAGCAAATTGATTGCCTTCTTAATTAAGGAAGGGGAAGGAGAAGGAGGGAGACAATTTGGAACTCAAAATTTAAAATTGTTTTTACATGTAGTTAAGAAAAAAATTTTTTTGAAAGGAAGTAATGTGTTGAAGCTGCTTGTAAAGGCTAAATAACGTACGTGTGTGTGTGTGTGTGTGTTGGTGTGTGTGTGTGTGTGTGTGTGTGTTGGAGGAAACTTGTCTCCCTGGAGTAAAAATACGTGCATGTGTGCACCCATATGAGTCTCTGTCAGGAATATAAATTCATCAGCCTCACTTTTAAAGCTTTCCACAATGCTACTCCCACCTACCTTTCTAATTTTATTTCGTATTACTCCCTTTCATACATACTGCACTCCAAACTGGGCTGCTAGCTTTTCTTCTTAAGGATGTCCCTAATTCACATAAGTGATACCTCACAGCTGGGATGCACTGCCTTTGCCACCTGTGCTTTATAGAATCTTTAGCTTCTTTCATACCATAGCTCAGATTATACCTCCTACACAAGGCCTTTCATAATCTTCTGATATGTCTTCCTCACTAACACTGTCTGTCTCTCTGTCTCAAAATTATTTTGCATATAACTTTGTATTTACTTGTGTATAGTTATATTCTGCTAGTGGAAAGTAAGCTTCTTGAGGGTGGGACATCTTTATATTTCCTGTGCCTAGCCCAATGCTTTCCACATAAACATGTAATAAATTTTTGTTGAATTGAACTGAATCTGCCTAGGTCTTCCCATTCAGTTCTTGATTTATGTGCAAAGACTAGAAGCAGCATGAGATGTATCCATGAGATCCAAATTACTAATATCCTTAAAAATGTTTCTCATGTGCTATATAAAGTTGTCCTTGGCTACTAGGCTATTGACTACATTCCTTTTGTAAACTTTATAAGCAGTCTCAACAAACTACTTCTTAAAAAAAATCTGCTCCTTTGGCTTTCATTTGTACCAGCTCTCTTGGGGGAATAGTTATACAACCTGGATGTTTCCAAGTTTGAAGATTTGCTCCCTCCTCCCCTCAGCAGGAGTGATGTATGATATATGATTGTCAGAGTCATAGATTTAGAGCTTGGAAAGAACCACCTCTTTATTTTGTAGATGAAGAAACTGAGATCCAGAGAGGTACCTGAGGTCCCACAGCAGCAGAAGCAGTGTTGGAAGCCTGGTCATCTCCCATGAAATCAGCATTCTCTCCAGGCTGCCTGCCTGACATATTGCGGGTCAAGAATGTTCAGGCTCTAATTCAACCTATTTGCCTTTTCCACAGGATGAGTTTTTAGATGTGATCTACTGGTTCCGACAGATCATTGCGGTTGTCCTGGGAGTCATTTGGGGAGTGGTGCCACTGAAGGGCTTCGTGGGAATAGCAGTGTAAGTCATGAGTTTCCAACATGTCATGGTCTCCCTTATTGTAAAACCAAGCCCTTGCCTTTCATTGAAACATAGGAGATTCAGAGAATTGTTGTTTTATTTTACAGTGTTTAATGCTTTGCTTTTAGTGTAGAGAGGAATGAACTAAAGCAAGTGCTTGTCACTGGGAGTTGTATTCTTAGAAATTTCAAAATTCTGTCTGAAAGTATTTGTTGAGGTGGTATGGTGCAGTGGAGGGCACACAGTGGAGAGTCAGAAGACCAGAGAGTGAGTCCTGGCTCTTCTGCTTGATAGCTCTGTGATCACATGCAAACTCTTTATCCCCTCAAGACTCTTTTACCTTATCTATAAAATGGGAATAATGCACTATCCATCTCACAGGGTTATTTTAAGAAAAGCAGTTTGTCACCTTTAAAACCCTATACAAATATGAGCTACTATGGTGTCTTTGCCTTGGCAAGGATTCCTTTAGGCCCCTGCTCTGTAAGGAGTTCAAAGTAGAAGAAGTTGTGCCCTCAGAGTGTATTGCTGTGTTGTCATCCCTTGTTATCTGGAGAAAAGTCAGTGGCAGCCCTGCCTCTCAAAGGACTCATGGATAAAGCTGGTCCTGATGTGAGTAGCTCATTTGATTCATGAGCTTCTAAGAGTATGTCCACCTGGCTGTAAGACTGACTTAAAGAAGTGTCTTATCAGCGTTGGGTCTCTGAGGGCAAGGGGACTTTTGAACTATGCCTGTATTTTCTCACTTCATAGGTAATAGAGATTCTCATTCCCCCTCCTGCATCCTGCTGAAAATAATTCCAGTTGATTGCTTGGAGGGGGGGGTAAAACACATCCTGGTTACAGAGCACTGTCATGGCAGTTCATTTCTTTGATCTTTACAGTAGGCCTGTGGTATTGTTATCTTTCACATTTTTCAGAGGAGAAAACTGAGGCTCATGGTCATGGGACCAGTTACATGGTGTAGCTGGACCTGGAACCCAGGCTGTTTGACTACTTTCTTGTGGTTCTTTCCATGGTACCAGGATTCTGCCAACCCAAAATGTCCTCATTATATCAGTTGTCAAGGATCTGTTACTTTCTCAGTGATGCAGATCAAAAACCCTCAGTGACTTGGTAGATGGTCTTCAACAGTTGCAGTGGCAGAAGCATGAAGTGCTCTGTAGCCAGCCTAATTAGTCAGGTCACGGACAGTAGATGTACAGTGTTACTGCTCTGTTCCTAAAACCTTTCCAGCAAGGTAGAATTTGCCCAAGCTCAATCTCTGTTGCATATCTCATTTTCTTCAGGGAACAAGGGCACTTCCATGCTAGGATGAGGCATCACAGTAGGAGCTGAGTGGAAGGAAAGCCTCAAATGTTCCTTCCCTTTCCCTCAAAAAAAGGTGTTTTCAGTCACAAATACTTGTTGATGGAGGGCTGGGCTTAACTTGCATTCTTTTTAGAGCAAGTGTTTCCTCTGCATATACTGTGTGCCTAATCCAGCTCTAGACTTTGTTACATTGTAGAGCCTTCCTTCCCAGTAACTGACTACTGCTACCAGGAACTAACATTTTATTTTTGGATTTGGACCTGTGACTTCATTGGTGTAGAGAAATCTCAAGGAAGAAGTTCCCTCTACTAAGGCAGACTGCAACTGCTCTGTAATTTGTAGTCTTAGAGAGTTGCCTGAGGAGAAGCTAAGGGGCTTCCCGGGATCACAGAGCCAGTGTGTTAGAGGCAGCACTTGAACCTAGGTCTTCCTGACTCCAAGGCTAATTCTTGATCTGCCATGTCATGCTGCTTGGTAACTCATGTTACCAAAAAACATACAGCATCTTTGGGTTTGAGGGTGGTATTAAAGTACTCTTTTAAAAATATATATATGAAAGGTACATATTAACTCTTCACATACTCCAAGCCCTCACTTTCAGTCTCCTTGCCCCATTTAGGCTTTCTGAGGGAGAGAAAGCAAAGCCAGATGAGTGAAAATGCTAAAGAGCAGTGAATTGGCCCTGAGCCCAGTCTTGGAAGAGAGGAGGCAAGAATCTCAGAACAAGAGGAAGTGGCTGATCTTCAGCTATGTGAGGTCAGGTCTCTAGGAAAGGAGATAACTCTGCTGTTAATCCAGGTTCTGTATAAAAATGTCACCAGATATTTATGTAGCACTTTCCAACTGACAGGCACATTATATTATCTCATATCCTTACAACCTAAGTTTAAGTCTTACCTTCCCTGATTTCTGCCATGTGACCTGTGAGTGTGTTTCCTTATCTGTAAAATGAGGATGATAATCCTTGCCCTGCTACTGTGAGAACCAAATTAATTAATGTATGAAAAAAGCACTTTGCAAATGTAAAGGGCTATATTAATGTGAAGTTAAAATGGGTATATTATTGACCCGGCATCATTACCCCTATTTGACAGGTGAGAAAACCGAGACCCCAAGACATGAGTCTTTAGCAAGATAGAGGACTAGAACCTTGTCTTCTGATGTTTAGTGATTCCAGTATTCTTTATATCTTATCGAATGAGTTCAGCTCTAAAAAAATTACTTTTTTTTTTTAAACAAATGATAAGAAACAGCCATAGTGAGTGGAAAGAATTAGCTGTGTAGAAAATAGGCCGTATTTGGGGCAGCTAGGTGGTGCAGTGGATAGAGCTCTGGACTTGGAGTCAGGAGGACCTGAGTTCAAATTTGGCTTCAGACACTTGATACTTACTAGCTGTGTGACCCTGGGCAAGTCGGTTAACCCTGATTGCCTCACCAAGAAGCAAAAACAAAAAAATAAAAAGAGAAAGAAAACAGGCCTATTCTTGACTTTGGTTAGACCAAGTGAGATAATGTTATGTTGCTTTACCTCAAGATACCCTTACCTTGAGTCTTTAATTCTGTCCTGTTCTGCCAGTATATTATACTTACAGGGCACTGACTTGCCCAGAATAGATACTTCACTCCCTTGGTTGGCATCTAGTTTAATATTCTCAGGAAAGGCTATAGGGAATGTTGGGTGGTTAAAAGCAATGTATTTTCTCTCAGCCTGAGCAGGTTTATTATATTGCTTGGCTTTTAGTTCCTGCCTATCACTTCATCTTTTCAACTGGCTTAGTTCAAGGTTTAAGAGGAGGGTTGAGCTCATAAAAATTGCCTTTTAGGTCTGGATCTCCTGGCATTTCTCATTCATCACATCATTAAAATGTTTTTAAGTGAAAATATTTAATCATCTCAGCTCCCTTCAGTCACTTAAGAGCTGAAGTAAGTAATCCTGCTACACTGGAAGGGACTGTGCATCCACTCTTTAGATCTTGCCCATTCCCAGAATGGAGAGATGTAGTCTCATGGCCAAGGTGTTGGGCCATTCTCAAGCTCTGACAGCTCTGTGCTGGGGCTTGGTTTTGTTGTTAGAATGTTCATTCTTAACATGGTGACCAATCAAAGTTCATTCCAAAGCCAGAGCCTTCTTGTTGTCTCTTGAACATGCTAGGTTTACTGTTGTGTTTTCATGCTCACTAGAATTGTCCTTTGTCCTTCCTTCATGAATGGTTCCTTCCCCCCACTTCCTCTCCAGGAATCCTTGCCTTGTTTCATTATTTAGCAACTTCATGTATTTAGGTGCTGTCTTCATATAGACTTAGCTCCTTGAGGGCAGAAACAATGTCATTTTCTATGTATTCCTCAAAGCATATCTGGCATATATAATAATATATATAATATATATGATAATATATATAATAAGCCTCAATAACCTGAAGTGCTTTTGGGTAGATTTTTTTTTCCCCTGTTGCTGAAGCAACTAGGGAAGATTATAAAAGAATAAAACTGATGTCAATAACCATTTGTTGATTGATTGGATGATCTCTCCCATTTTCCACTTAAGGTAAATAATAAAGACACGAATGTCAGTTCCTAGAATGATCGCTGACCCTGATCAATCACCAAAAATTAGATGGACCAGGAGCCTTAACGCTAAACTAGAGTCACTTTGGATGCAGGAATCATGGCCTGACCTTGCTGTCTCCAGTTTGTTTTTTCAATAGGAATGATGTAGGAAATGTGACTGTTTGGTGGCTTTGTGACAGCCTGCAGAAAACCTAACACTGGTAACTCGTGCTCGTTTGGGCGAGGGCATTGGACAGTCCTTCTGAGAGACTGCTTCCATCAGTCATTCTGAGGGATGAACTAAGAAGTGGGGTCAGGGGCTGGAATGCTTCCGTGGGCACTTTCTTTCCTGCTGCTGCTGAGCAACAAGGAAAGTTCGAAAAGAATTAGACCATTCTCTGACCAACACTTGTAAGGAAAAGGTTAGCCCCTTTCTAGCAGTGCCAAGATTTATGGTGTAGAACTCGTGCTCTTTGTATTAGTCCCCTGAGGAGGGGGGAATGGTAACAAGCTAGCTGGGGATGTTTTACTCTTGTTTATTCTGTGAGTAAAATCCCAGAATCTTACCAAGAGTGGACCCTCTTGGCTTGTACCTCAGGTGGTGCCTCTTGCCTGCTGGAGGTCTTGTAAGCAAGGAGGTTTTGAAGTTGTTATAAAGGCCATCTCTAATTTGGAGATGAAGGGAGCTGTTTTTACTAGGTTCTTATAGCATGTTCTTAATTTTCTGAGTTTGTGATGAGGCTTAATGTGTTTTCCCTTTTCAGATTCTGCCTGATCAATGCTGGCATCTTGTACCTCTACTTCAGCAGCTTCCAACAGATCGATGAGGAAGATTATGGTGGGACGTGGGAGCTCACAAAAGAAGGTTTTATGACGTCTTTTGCACTGTTTATGGTAATTATGTTCTCTCTTCAAACAGTTATTTCAATAAATCAGAATCTTTTGTTCTCAAGTTTGGAAAGCTCTCCGAGGTCATCTAGACCAACCCCATCTTCTTGATGGATAAAACTCTTCTAAGAGGAGTCCTTGACAAAATGTCGGATCCACCCTCTCCTCAAACAGCTCTGGAGAGTACGCTACCTTAGAAGGGAGCCGTTAGCCCATTCCGTGGTTAGGCAGCTCTGATTTTAGAATTTCCTCCATACATTAGGCTGAGGTCTGCTGTCCTGCAACTTTGACCCTTTAGTGCCAGTTCTGCCCTCCAGGGCTAAGACGAATAATGCTGATCTCTCTTCCCTTAAAGTGTCTGAAGACCTTGATCTTCTCTCCTCTAAGTCTTCCGCTTATCAGGCTGAAGAATCAGAATTTATTCTAATGACATAGTTTCAGACACTGTCTTTATCTTAGTCCTCCTCAGTTTGTCTATGTCTATCCTAAAATGAGACCTCGGATTTATAAACGGTGTACTCCAGATGTGGTTTGACCAGAGCAGAGAACAGCAGGACTATCATCTTTTCTAAATGCTAGACTCCTGTTTCTGTCACCTAAAGTTGTTAGTTTTGGGGGTACCACATTATATAGACTGACACCACAAGTTATACCATCTCAAAGAGCTGTTTACAATTAATTGTTTACTATGCACATAGTAATTTAGGTTTTTAGGTCCTGGGGTACATACATAGAGTGAGACACATCGTTTCCTCAAGGAGCTTTCATTCAAGTGCTGTATTTGATTTGAGTGCTTCTGATTTCCACCCATTGCAGATTCTCAAAGGCACCTCTTGTGCCCTGTTGGGTCTTGGCTCTCACGCATATGAGTGGCATGAGCTTGACACAGCTTAGACGTGAGGGTTGTCCCCTTCTCCCTTAGTCTGCAGGATTCCAGATGTTAGCCTCTGGAAATGGTCTTGGACTCCCCTTGTGAAATGTTAGCTGACAACTGTGATTCTCTGACTACACCAGCAGCACCTAGTTATCTACCAGGAACAGTATGTGTGGTAGATACTGTGCCACAACTCTCTGCTCCCAGGTGGCTGCTCCCTTTGCTGTTTGATACTGCATCAGCTGCTTGTAATTTTTAAATTTGCTCAGAGAACCCAAGTGACTTCTCTGAAGTCACAGAGGGAGTAAGCAACAGGAGTAGGATTTGAATCCAGGCCCTTGCACTCTAAATCCAGTGCTCTTTCCACTGTAAGGATTGATTTATTCATATCTCATGATGTCATATCCATAATTCTCTTATACACTTAAAATACCCTAACTTGAGTGGAAAGAGTATGCTGAATTTGGGGTCTAAGGACCTCTGTTTAGTTTCTGTCTCAGTCACTTAGGAGTAGTGTGGCTTAAAAGAAATATCCTGACTTCTCTTAGCTTTATCCCAGCTAGGATAACCTGGGCTTCAATCATCCCTTAGAAGGTTGTGATTTAGGGTGATAATGTTTTCAAACACAGCAGGACCTTATTACAAAGAGCTTCTTTGGGTAGTTTGATTTATGTGGTAAAACTGTTCCACCTAGCCAGTTAGAGACATTAGGGCCCGAGTCAGGTCTTCCTTTGATCCCCTGGGAGGGAGTTTTTTTTCACTCTGATACATTGGCTCTACAGGGAACTGAGAGACTGCATACAGCTTGCTCGTCACCACTCATGGAAACCACCTCAAGATTGCTTTGTGGGATTAATTTCTGCTCCTTGTGTCTCCTTTAGGTTGTTTGGATCATCTTTTACACTGCCATCCACTATGACTGACAGGCTGCAGCCCACACCTGCTAGCACTGTTCATTCAAAAGGACATTCTAATCACAGGCCAGAAATGTGCCAGTGGTCAGGGGCATTTCAGCCAGAAGGAGACTGTGATGCCCCATTCTCCCAAACTGAGAATCAGCGTGTTGGTCATCAGTGTTTTATACCAGTGTCGTGTCTTGGAACTTTTAAACAAGCCATCCCTATTTTGAAAACATTACTGAACTGTTCCATCACGACCATATTCCATGCCTTTATTGACTACCCATCACTAATACCTGTTGGCTGAATGGATCTAGTAATTTCATTTACCTTAGGATCTGAATGAAACATTAAATTGTCTCGTCTTCCTCAGCTGTCTATCAGGCACACAATTTTAAAGATATCAATGGCATTTTATGTTTTGAGTTCTTGGACAAAGCATGGCAGAATGTGCGTGGTTCATAATACAGTACATGTCTAATAATAGTTTCCATTGTAGAATGTTTTAAGATAACTTGAATAAATTGAATCTTGTTAACAGATCTCCTAAGCCTTTGATTGAAAGTTTGAGGGGCTATCAGTGTAGCTCTTTGCTTTGTGTCTGCAGACAGCATTTACCTGGCCCAGGGTTGTCCAGCTGACTCAGCCTTTGCCTTCACCTACTGTGCCTCAGGCCTTCCTCTTTACACTTAGCACTCAGCCAGGTCTAGGCTATATCTCTTAACCTCTGAAGTGTTATGTAGTGGGAACTTAGGTGCTGTTTTATCCAGCACCTTCATTTTACACAGGAGGAAACTGAAGTTCAGACAAGTGACTTGCTTAAGGTTATATAGCCAGTTAGTGGAAGAGGCAGGACCAGTACCCAGTTTGCTTGCCTCCTGGGCCAGCGTTTTTCTCACCTATACATCCTTTTTTTTTTTTTGGCTAGGCATTGGGGTTAAGTGACTTTCCCAGAGTCACACAGCTAGTAAGTGTCTGAGGCCAGATTTGAACTCAGGTCCTCCTGAATTCAGGGTCAGTCCTCTATCCACTGTACCACCTAGCTGCCCCTCACCTATACATTCTTAATGTGAACCCTGGGTCAAGCTTTGGGTAGAATAAGTCCTATAAGTCGGTGACCCTAGCAAAACCCTGGATAAAGGATCAGATAGTAGCAATTGCATTTCTGCCCACAAGATGGCAGAAGAGCCTGTCAGTGAGGCTACTGATGTGATCACCTCCCATCTCCCCTACCTAGCTCAGCGAATACTAATGGAAACCAGCCCAGAGGAGGAAGGAAGACAAGGTAGAAATGATAGATGAGTCACAGAGGGGACAGTGACCAAAAACAAAAGGCAGGAACAGGCCCCAGATGGAGCAGTTCAGCAGGGAGGCTGTGGAAGAGAGCCATCTGCTGAAGGAGAATGGGACTGGCTCTCTTTGGGAGGCAAAAGTTACAGGCCTAGGAAGATGAAAATTTTCACCATTACATTGGGACCAGTTTTTAAGTTGTGTTGGAACTTGTACACTTAGATTCTCAGGCAGCCACCTTGGTGCTTATCTCAAGTCTGGAAACCTGTGGGGAACTGGTTACTAATTTCACCCAGGATGGGGAAGGCCCAAGCCCCACAAGAAGATGGAAGGAGAATTTCTTAGTGAAAGCATTGGAGTCAACTCCAGTTGTGATTTTGTGGGATTGGTTTTACTGTTGTTGTCTTGGGCTTTGGTACAGTTCACTATAGTGCCTTGACTGGGCAAATTCTAGGTCCCATTTTGGGAGACACCCACCAGCCTCTGAGGCCACATGGGAAGAGGAAATGCCCTTAAAGAAGGTCTGCCCAAAGAACCCTTGCATATCGCTTCTCCAAAGTCAACAGAGGAGGGGGGCACAGGAGAACATCTTCAAAGTACTTTGGCCCTAATTCCCCTTCTTGAGTCTCCCCTGGCCACTGATGTCCAATGATGGGTCCTCAGTCATGCTGATATAGGTGCCAATCGCCTCTCGGAGCCCTGCACTAATGGGACACGTGTCACCTGAGGAGGACACCTCTGAGAACAAGAGTGAGCTGTATGGAAGGAAGAGAGAAGATGATCAGAAATCATTAATGTCTTCCACATGCTTCACATTTCATGTCACTTAAATTTTGCTCATACTAAGGCTTAGGAACCTACTACGCTTCCCTCCTGCCCAAATGTCTCTTTCATCATTGGCCTTCCCTTTATATATCCAGTCTGATCCCTGGTCCCCCAACTTATTCAGTGCCTACTGTGTGCCACACACTGCAACATCTCATCACTTCTCTGAATGAGATTCCTATTACTGTGCCTCTGTTTGTGCTATCCCAGATTTGGAATGTCTTCCTACTATTCCACCTATCACACTTCTGTCTGCCCTTTAAGGCTCAGCTAAGTCCCACCTCCAACAAGTTTTCCCTAACTGTTCTAGCACCTCATAGTTTTTAGCATCGATTCTATCCCATTGGATTGTTTCCTGCATGTAAACTCAGTTTCCCCATGTAGACTGCGAACTTCCCCAGGGTTCAGCACCTCTCCTCTAGCCTCAGAGATAGCCTGGCAGTCAGGAGTGCCTCTTACCTGTCCACTTCTTTCCAATCGAGAGCTGGGCTCTGAACAGACACTGGTGGTGGGATATTCTTCAAAGGAGGCAGGCCCACTCGGTGAAAGGCACAGGGATCCTTCAGCAGGGAGCAGAGATCATCTGCCATCTCTGTGGAAGAGCTAGCCCGTGTCACTCCCCCAGATCCTGCCTCCCCACCCAGCTTAGCCACCATCCATCCCCCTGGCCCAGGAGGAAGCCTTTCCTGCTCTCAGGGCATGACCAGCTGGCCCTGCCTGGGCCTGTCTGCATCATTTTCAGGGCCACAGGACAAAGAATATGAGTCATGATATTAGTGCTATAGAAAGAGACCTGGCCTAGGAATCAGACCGAGGTTGCAATCCTGGCTCTTCCACAGTGAATGGTATTTTGATTTTAAGGGTCCCTTCCACTTCTGACAGTCTAAAACTAATGATTATCATCACTTAGTGTTTATATGTTAGACATATTAAGGCAACTTGGGGTCAGAAGGAATACCAGCCCACTGGTCACCCTCCCCCAGATGATGATGACCTCCACCCCCACCCCCACACAGTGAGGTCTTCCCTTGAAATGTACGACCACTGTGGAGAAAGAGGTCTGCTAAAATGGATGCCATGGGAACTACATCACCTTGCCAGCTGGGAATTTAAGAGTGACAGAATGTGAATTAAAAGGGCCCTTATAGGTCCTCCAGTCTAACTCTTATTACAGAGGAGTAAACTGAGGCCCAGAATGGGGAAGAAAATTGCCCAAGGTCAATTAAGATAATAATAATAAGTACTTAGCATCTACATAGCACTCTGAGGTTTACAAAGCATTTTACTGTGTTATTTCATTTGTTCTTTTTTTTTAAATTTTTTTTTCCATATGCTTTTGAGTTGAAAATTTTTTCTCCCTTTTTCTCCCCCCCCTCCCCAAGACGGCGCACAATCTGACATAGGCTTTACATTTACATACCCATTAAACATATTTTCACATTAGTGAAGTTGTAAGTAAAAAATTAAAACCAATAGGAGGGACCATCAGAAAGATGTATTTCATTTGTTCTTAAAAGAACTCTATGAGGTAAGTGAGGAAAATAAGCTATTAAGTGTCTAAGGCAGGATTTGAACTCAGAACTTCCTTAGCTGTAGGTGCCATTTACTGTCAGACCCAGGATTAAAACCAAGGTATCTGGAATCCCAAGTCTAGGACTCTGTCCAGCATTCTATGCTTCTCAACAGATTTTCCTGGGGGATAGGGTATGGAAAGGAAAGAGAACTGACTGCATCTGGTTGGGATGGTGTCCAGGATCTTTCCTTCCCTCCTTTCTGTGTCCAAGGATATCCTGACCAACCAGCTGGCTTGCCCAAACATTGGATACAACCCTGTACCTGTGTAATGGTCCACCAGGGCTTGGAGTGAGGGGAAGGTGAAACGAGGAGAGATGTAGAACCATCCATTCTCCAGGCGATGAATCCTGTAGTGTCTGACTACATCCCGAGAGGTGGGGCGGCTCAGCCTCACCGACAGGGAGTAAGCACCTATATAGGAGATAAGGTGAAGGAGGAAACCCCTGAGATCCATGGGGGTGAGGCTGGGGCTCCATACCCTTCTCCAGCCAGCTACAAAAATGCCTCCAAGCCCTGATAGATAGCATGGGGACTGCTGACCTTAGGTAGACACAGAGTCAGGAGAGAGGAACAGGAAAGGACCCATAGCTTGGTCCCTAACTCAACTGAAAACCATGAAGAATTGGTTGTGATTATGGAAGAAGAGTAGGTCGGGCTAGAGCTATTCTGTCAGTCAGTCAATTAGCATTTATTAAGCACCTACTGTGTGCCAGAAATTGTGCTAAGCTCTGGGCATACAAAGAAAGGCAAAACTAAACAAACAAACAAGAAACAACCCTACTGAATGAATTCTTTTTTAATGAAAGAAATTTTTGAAGAAAAGATATTGATAAAGTATTTTTGAGGAAAGTTATTAAATGTCCCCACCAAGGTTTGGATAATTGGGAGAAGAGACACCTGTTTCCTAATGATGAGTCACATCCCTAAGAAGACCTTATATCTCCAGGACACTTCTGTGTCTGGAGTTCCCTTCCCAGCTGGACCCACACAAGCAAGTGCTGACTGCTGGGTTAACATGAGGACCTTTATTTAGGACAGAGGAAAAAGTATGATTCAGTCCAAATTCTCTTCATCAGTGTTGTTACCTGAGGGGTTACGTGGGGGTAGTAGAAAATTACCCTGGCCTGGGAGACAGAAAACCTGCTTTCTATCCCCAGCTGTCACAAACTTTGCTTGGCAAGGTCACTGAGCTTCTCTGGTCCTCACTTTTCTCCTTTGTAAAATGGAGTTAGATTTGATTCTCTAAGGTACTTTCTAGCTTTGAAAATCTATGTTCTATGACAGGCCTCTGGCTGGACTATAAAGACGAATACAACATTCTAAAGTTTAACGCCAACCCCCATTTTACAATTGGGGAAACTGAGGCCAT